TCTTATCATATTCATATTCTCATAGGATATTTCTTCGTAGTGGAAAAACACAGGATGAATTTTGTTGAACGTTCGATGCTCTCTCGTTTTATTCATAACATAAAAGCTAAATTTGTTAACTCGATGTATAAAGAATATCCAAAACTATGAATGGGATTTTCTATCGACTTTCGTGCATATCCCGTTGTGGAATCATCAGTCAGATGACTGTCATTTCTTACGGGTTATATAATACCCGCGAACAATTTGAGTTTCAACGTTTTTGATGACGCTAAACAAAATAAGAAAGTTTACGTATAGCTCCACGTACGAATCGATGTTCGATCAGGTCATGAAGAAGAGTGTCTCGAAGACTAAAAAGTACGATTAATATGAAGTGATCTGCTCAATACATAACCGCCGATGATTGTATTGTCCAATCATCTACCTGTACAATAATATGATAATTATTCATCAAGAGACGAAGTTTTCTACTAATGAAGTTATGTGAGAGCAAAAAGTGTGCGAGTATATTTATTTTTTGGTTGAAATATTGCTTTCGTCTGCTTTTGTATTTGAACAAATTGAAATTCCATTTTTCGTCTATAAATATGGTTGATTTTTCAGTAAAAACCATTGCATTACCAAACCGTCGACGCAATGGGTAATAATGGAGGCAAATGACGTGAAAACGGTAAGAAACAATCTAAACATCATTCTTTTCTGAGATTTTAATTTTTCTATTCAGAATTTCAAACATTTCACCATGTGAGAGAATTCGTCAAAGATTTCGATAGTTTTGCTTATTTGTTTATTCAGCTATTTGAAAAAGGTGCAGGCAAGGATGGCAAGATGACAATGGAGGAATTTCGTAGTTAATTTGCAAAATTACATCGAGAACGTGATATTAAAGATGAAGTTATTCCTGAGTATGTTCTTCGATGCATTTCTCGGGATTTCTTATTGATTGTTTTAGCTTTGTATTCGATGCGTTTGATGCAAATCATGATGGTTCCATAAGCTTCCCTGAATTTGCTCTTTCTTTGAGGAAAGGCAGTTTCGATCGTAATTTGGAATTGTCTTTTAACCTGTAGGAGATTTTTTCAAATTTATCTGCAATAAACGAAAATTCGATGTTTAATTTAAGTTGGACATATCAGATGATGGATGTATCAGTTCTGATGAACTCGAGGCTTATCTGGAAAAATCAGTAAGTGATTGTTTTGTACTTGTGGAAACAGAGGATAATTTGGTTTTCTTGAAGGTTATAATGTGAATTGGAAAAGAAAAGGCAGCAGAACTTGATATACATGCAACTGCTCAAGAGATTTTCGAACGATTCGGTCTTAATCCATCGCAAAAAATGAATAGAGAGCAATTTATTGAAGGGTAAAAGAATGAAATATTGATGATTTTCTTTGTGTTGAAAAGAACATTTTCGTCTAGATGTAAAAAGGATAAAGATATTGCCGAGATTATTGGTAACGCAAAATAAACTTTCATTCGTTATAAACCCAGTTTTGTAGAATTTTGCTTTTTCAATAAATTACCTTTATTTTCAATGAAATTGATATTGAATAGCAAAGCTTGCATTGTTGGTTTTGGACACGGATGGATGAGAATGAAGGAGTGAACCAGGATCACAATCGAGCTGACCCTTTATGGTCAGAATTGGGGCGCACACACTCACGCAAATCCGATCGTAAGGTTTTCCACATTTTCCAGCAACAGCGTTGAAACGAACAATGTGATCGACGCATTCAGAATATAAATAAACATTGTATTGAATTAATCTTTGTTACGGTGACCAATCTACTTGAAAGGGCAGTCAAAAATCACACTCTCACCCTCAAGAGAACATGTTCGATAGTATTCAAATCCCTTCACACATGACCTATCGCTCAAGGTTAACAAATGAAAATCTTTCTGGGTTTTTTCTTTCGCCCAATGTTTATTAAGAGAAACAAGTTAACAAAAACAAATGAATATCCAGAGAACACAAATTCTCTGACATTTCTCCTTGTTTTATTTTTCTATTAAATTGTTTTCCACTAAAAATCATCAACGGACAATGTTTTCACTTGATCTTTTCGTCGATCGAATTTCTTTTTAACAATAGAAAGAAATTCATCAGCAGTTGGCTTAGATGAATCACCATTGCTCATTTTCGCTTTTCGTCTAGAAAAATAACATTGATTAGATTTCGAACAACAACTTATCTTCTCTTACTTCTTGGCGGGTGGAGTTGTTGGTATATCATCGTCGTCATCATCACCATCTTCTTCTTCACTTTCGTTTTCTTCCTCCTCTTCCTCTTGTTCATCATCTATTTCATCATGTTTTCTTTTACTCTTGATTTGAAAAAGTTCTTCTTCTTCGTCATCATTATCGCTAATTTCTTTGTCAATCATTGATGCAAAATTTTGCTTAGCGGATACTTGATGTTCAGGTCGAATCAAATCCGGTAGAGAAGCTCGACCAGATAGTGAAATCTATTGCGAAAAAAATGTCCTATACATCTTATGTCAGTTAACGAGTAAACCTTTTCTTTTTGAGCAATATCTTCTAATACTTCACGTTGTCGCATTGATTTGTATCGTTGAAAATGAACAACAAGTGGACTTGACGTTGATTTTTGTTGACTTTGTTCAAGCCAACTTTCCTATTCAATTCAATGAAGATTATTTATCCAATAGAAAGTTTCTTCTTTCGCCTCACCATCTGTGTCGAATCTTTAACATTGAGACCTGTTTTTTGTCGCCGTTCTTCAATTAGATTCACATTTTCTTGAACTTTTTCCAATAAACCACGAACAACTTTCACAAAATTTTGCACTTTGCATACTTTAATGAATTTTTTACATTTAAGTATCAAAGGATAAACAAGCTCAGGAAATGTCACATGATGAGCATATTGAATCAGATAAACCATAACTAATTCATAGAATTGATCCATTAGACCATCCTACATTAGATGAAAAATCGATCTTTCTATAGAAAAGTTTATTATTCGATAAGAAATACTTTGTATGCTCGATCGTCCATTTGTAATTTGGTTAATTTCAGGGAAGTATCAAAGTTAATGTATTGTGCTTTGAGACTGGCTGTTTTATGACGTTTATTGAAATCGGTCGTATCGAACATTTCAAGTAGAAACGGTAGAACAGGAACGAACACAGATGTTAATTCAGTTAGTTTGATTAATAGACGAATACAATGAAATCGAAGTGGATAATAACGAGGTGATGGTACCAATCTAAACCAAATGTTCATTTCTAAGAAGTACATTCAACAATAAACAATGTTTACCTAATTGTTCCAATGATAAGTTCAGTTAATGGATGAATAAGTTGTTGAATTAGTTTTTCTTTATTGTTATATAAAACTCCGATAACATTTGTCCATAAACTCAATGCATGAATAAATTGCCAATTGTAAACACCTTGAATATTCTCCTAGACGAAACACATCTTGTTAAATGATAATTGATCGAAAATAACTTACTGGTTTTTTAGTTTGAATAGCTGTGCGTAAATGAACAGCAAGTTGTCGAAGAAAAACAAAACCATGTTGATAGGTAACTGTTGGATCAAGTGAGTAAAGTTCAACTAACGATCGTTGCATGAAATTAATCAACGGGAGTGTTGTTGGTGATGTAAATTTGCAATTTTTCAAATAATCCAAATACATTTTCTAATTCCGCAAACCTTTAGTCATAGGAATTGAAAAGAAGAGAAAGAACTCACTCGTAAAACAGCGCCCATCATTTCTTTTCGATGTTCACGAATCAAATGAAATAAACAAACAAACGCAATGACTCGACTTCGTTCATCTGTAGATGTTGACCAAATATGAATCAATTCCTACAAATTCAAAATTCACTTCTTCTCTCCAAACAATTCGTTCTAAATTACTTTCACAAGTGCTTGGCGTGTATTTGGTAAAACAATGACAAATGGAATCAACGATCGAACATGACGAAGAAGTGTATTCAATGTTGTTGGAACATTGATCATTGATATGAGCTAAGGAAATGGAGAGAAATAGAAATTTTGTTTAGATGAAATGAAGAAACAAACCCGTGTGAAATTGAGAAGATATTTTTTCATCACGTGTTCTAAATATTTCCAATTAGCACTTGTTTCGGGTTTTAATTTACTCGTTGTGACAAGTTTTATACGAAGAAACCGATAAATTGCTGGTAGTAATTGTTTCAAACACACACGAACAATGGCATTAAATGCTAAAACGAAAGATTCTTTTGTGGAAAGATTTCAATTGAGTAGATATTCTTACATTCAGGATCATCGATTGCACCAGTTGAAATTTGTTTTTTCTTCTTCTTTTTTTTATCATTCGAATCCGTTGTCGCCTCTGCACCACCATAAGCAGATTGAACAGCTAAACCAAAAGCACGTATGACATGACGAATCGTATTCAATGTTGGTTGAGTTTTCTGAACAAATCTTAAGTAAATATTTATCATTTAGGAAGAAGATAGCTTACTTGAAGTTGAGTCGCCCATTTCTCAATCGTTTCCGTTGTTACCTGGACTTGTTCTTCTTTACTCAGCGGTTCACCATCTTCATCGGAAAGATCTTCCATTTCTTCGAGTCGTTCAGGCAACTGATGAGCTTGTTGTTCAGGATCATCGTCGGGTATCGAGTCATCGTCATCATTGACATTGAAATCGAGTAGACCAGCGTCTTCTTTTTTCAAGAATTTGTAAAATTCAGGATCGACTGTGGCCAAATCAGCTAGATCTTTCTTATGTTGTTCCATTGCTGAGACGCCATTTGTTTTTGTCCTAAGATAAGAAAGTTCTTGCTGAGAAAATGAATCTTTTTCCATTCAACTTACTTTTTAGTTTTGAGCTTCGGTTTTGTTGTTCGAGGTTTCATCTGAAAAAAAGTGAAAATATCTGATTAATTATCTTTCAATAAAAAAAATAAAGTTTTGTTTTTCATTAAATCTGACTTGTACACACATGAACTATACATAAAATAGAAAATATCTGAGAAATTAAGATGAACAATGGACGAAAAATTGTTGAAATGGTTGCAGATTATACTGAGCTATTGACGCGAGTAACCATTCAGGTTTAACATAAGCTGTATATAGTTGATCTTTGCGTTTCATTTCATTACATAAGACAATGATTGTCGATGATGGATTCGAATGAAATTCATCAACAATTGTTCCACCACAAAGATAGATTAATTCGCGAAGTGCCCGATTATCTGCTAAGATCGCTGGACAGGCATTTTGTTCAGGACATTCAAGAAGAAATGAGATGCCTTGAAATAGTCCTTGAGAACGAGGGATTCGTGAACGAAGAAAACCACCATGATAACCATAAGTTGGATCACCGAGAAAGATTTCATAGATTTGAGATGGAACAATGATTTGGTGTGTAATAGAAGCCACAAGCCATTGAATACTGATAATGGGTAAATGACGAGCAGTTGCTTGAATCACTTTTAATGTTAATGGACAAACAAGTGGAGTATTCTCGTCTAATGAATCAGTTATCAAATGAGTTGTTGTTTCGTCAACTACATTCGAATAGCGAATGTTAAATTGGGAAATAAATTGTTCAAAAATGATCTAAAGATATTCAAGTAGTAGATCCTGTTGAGTTCGATATTTCATGGTTTATTACCTGTTGTTCCGCTTTGAGACTTGATTTTGCTAAAACCATAATCGATGGTGATGCTTCATCAACTGTCATAGTTTGTTTTGAGATTTTCGTTGGTCGATGAATCTAAATTAGTGCAAGAGGAAAGCATTTCGAAAAATGTATACATTGATATTTTAACTAACAGATGAAACTTGAAGTTTAGCGCTTGCATCACAAATAAATTGCCGTGTTTTGACCAGTTGTTCGACACAAGCACATACTGTTAAATCTCGACAAACAATATGTTGTTGTTGTTCCGACTGCGAAAGAGCTGAATGATATTGAATACCGACAGAAACAAGTTCGGTAGTCGAAGAATCCGTTTGGACTGTTTGATTTGCCATTTCAACAGATCCTGTTTGACATTGCTTTTCTTGAACAATGGAATGAGATGAAATATCTGTTTGTGTTTCAATCGAAGCTGCTGTGGTTGTTGGTGGCATTTGAGGACTTGGCGGGTGTACTGAATCTAAAATATTGGTAAGAACTGGAGATGTTGTTGATGGTGGTGGAGGAAGAGCAAATGTGATGCGTGACGCTGTTTTGATTTTCACAGCTACAGAAAGATAGAATTTGTTTTTCGAAATGAAAGTTCAAATAAAATAATTTACGTGAACTACTCTGTGCTGGAGCAACGACAACATCTTGTTTTGCATGAGTCGAACGAGAAAGAATAGGTGACGGTAATGTTGGTTGTATTCGTTGATGTGAACGAAGACTTTGGATTTTCTCACCAATGATTGTATTGTGTTCATTGATCTTTTTATGATTTTGTCGGATACCTATGAAAGAAGGATCATCAGCGAAAAACGACACGCCGATAGTGAATTGAATTACCAGGTCCTTCGATATACAGTTTTGATTGTTCGATGAGGCGGGTTTCTTCGTTTTCTTCTTCGGCTGTTGTACAACCATCTGAACTACCAGCGGATGATTTTCCTGAAGTGAAATTTCGAATGGATAGGATAGGAAAGAATGGTTTTGATTTTACCAATGACTGGTTTTGTAGATCGTTTGTTATTTAAAGCAGCATTTCGACGAAGTTTCTTGGTTATTGGTTCTTCTGGCGGTTGTTTCATTGCCGTTGTTTTTCGTTTATTCGTTGGTGGTTTTCTTCTTGTTTTCGTATCTTCGTCGTTTTCTGTTTCATCATCGTCTTCTTCAGCAATCACAGATTTGCGGCTTTTCGACCGCTTTCGAACACTTTTATTCGTTGATGTTAACTTCTTTTCCTTTTTATTCATATTCTTTGTTAAACTGAGTAGTTGCATATCTTCGTAAGTTTGATTTTTCTCTTTAAAAATTGTTAAATTCGTTGCTGAACGAGTCGAAGTTGCTGTGGATGGAATCGCTGGCGATCGACGAAGTGGTGTACTCGTTAGAAGCATTGTATCAATCAAGGAAGGGCGTGTGATATTCGATGATACATTCTTTTTTTTGGTTGATGATGAGGGCATTTTCATTTAATGAACAAGATTTCTGTGAAGATGTACACTGAATAGAGGAGAGAAAAATACGACGAATACTAAATGGATTTAGCAACCGACGAATGAAATACGTTGGGTAGATGGAGCTATATGACCGACAAAATAGATCATTTTTTCTCATTATAATTATTAGTTACGATTAAACTCACTCACAGTAGAATGAAAATTTAGTTTCACAATGTGATATCGCTAAGAAAAAATCGGATGTTCTCGTTATTCTCTACAGGACTTTTACCACGCAATATTGTGATCCATGGGTATGACGCTATTGAAGATATTCGATCTCACTGGAAACATAGATTACCAAACTTTCTTATCTGTGTCGATGTTGTCGAATACATAGGATAATCATTATGAAATCATGTGAAATTTTAATGAAGATTGTCGCATACATTTATTTGATCTGCTTAATACAGTTGCTTGAATTCGCCATTATAATGGTATGAAGCCAAGATTAATTTCTACTCTTTGATCGTAAAGACTATTTCCGATGAAGGAGTTTTCCTTATTGGAAAATGACTTGTATCTATGCAATGCGCAAATAAATTACCGCAACTAATCGAAGATGTTGGATAGAGGACGCTGTATCGTATACTGAGAGTTTTTACTTTTCCTCTGCCATCTTGAGAGTTGTCATATTGCTATGCAGCTGACTTCAATTCTTTTCTCTTCCTTTTTTTATTCTTTGACGTTTTTTCTATTCAGTGATGGGAAATAAATCTTTAGCAAAACTCCGGCCTGCTGATTTAAACGATTTTCGTCGACATACAACGTTTACTGAAGCAGAAATTCGTACGTGAACAACATCTTCCGAACGATATTGTTATGTATTTGTTTATTTTCTATAGAGGAATGGTACAAGTCTTTTCATAAAGATTGTCCAAGTGGAGAATTGACTGCTGACGAATTCAAGAAGATTTACGCACAATTTTTCACGGCTGGTGATTCGTCAGCTTTTGCTGAACATGTCTTTCGTTGTTTTGATACAAATGGTGATCGGAAAGTTTCATTTCGAGAATTTTTACTCGCATTACACACAACAGCAAACGGAACATTAGATCAAAAACTTGAATGGGCCTTCCATCTTTATGATAGAGATGGTGACGGGTACATTTCCAGAGATGAAATGTTTGTTATTATTGATGTAAGTAAACAAAATACCAAAGAGAAGAAACAGACGATCAGGTATTCCATTTAATGTTTTAGGCGATTTATAAAATGATTGGTTCAACAGCACAATTGCCAGAAGATGAATCGACAGCGGAGAAAAGAACAAATAAAGTAATTTGATGCAAAAAAAACCTTTGTAAGAATATAGTTACAGATGTGTTCCATATAGATTTTCAGATCTTATGATAATGATCGTGATGGAAGATTATCTCGTGAAGAATTTATCCGAGGTAAAAGTTCTTGTGTTTCCTGTTCAAATCTTTACTGTATGATATTTATTAGGTGCGAAAGCCGATCAGTCCATCATCCAATTATTACAAAGTGATCGAAGGCCAATGTCAACAAGCGCAGCAAATATGTCTTTTCATTCATCAGAAAACACTCCGTCATCATCTACTGCTCGTCTTCGTACATAATATGTGAGATGATAGAGAATCTCATTGTCTTCCGTTTTCGCTTTTAAGAGATTTCATTCCACAAATTCTACTCACGTCCGTACAAAAACACACAAACTATAAAAACGTATTTTTTCTCTCTCTCTTTTATTGTGAAAATATCCAAAAAAATTGAATAAAATAAATCTTCATTGAGTTAGAGTAAGCCTCGTTTTCCAACTAATGTTATCGTATTTCCCGAAAAAATGCCATATCTTGTCAATGGGCGATTACCTGCAGATGAATTGTTATGATGAAGGCGTTGACCACGAAAATAAACTAATTGTTCGGCGAGTGGAATACGAAAGACTTCTTGTAAAACTTGGCCAAGTTCATTACAAGTTGGTTCTTTTTCGGATTTTAAGACGATGTCTTGAACATCACCACCGAAATGAACTTGTAACTTCGTATACAAATGATTTCCTGATGCTTTTGTTGGAGGTAGCTCATTCTTTCGTGGTGTTTGATCGTTCATCGTGATTGACAAATCTTTCTAAATGCAACGAGAAATTTTCTCTCTCGATTTTGTTTTTATTCGTATTGTAACAACTTACCACAACAGCAGTGACAGTTTGACTTGACAACGATATATAAAAGAGAATTGCACATTCCTTTCTTTTTCTTTTCTTTCTTGTTCTCAACGTTTGTTGTTAACTCGTTGTCATAACAAGAAAGAGTTTCGTTTCATTCATTCTATATTTATTCTTCAACAACTCCTTCTTTTTTGTCATTCACACAAACATACATACAAATATATACTGTCACGAGAATCGAAAGAATAAACAACTAAACAAACGTTCAATAAACACACAAAAAAAAGAATGAAATAACACGTGAAAAAACAAAGAATATCTATGTGAAAATCACAGAAGACATGTCACATTATTAAACAAACTGGAATCAATTGAGTGAATTTGTTTGCTTTTATTCAACAATGACAAGATAAGGACTACCGGGAACATGTTGCATCGTTGAACCGTAAAGAATTACTAACATATATTGACCACGTATTCGAACACGATAAGACACTTTATAAACATATCCAGGAGATGAGGGATTTGTTCGTTTAATAACAAGACGTTCTGCTGGTCCACGAGATGAATAGAGGCCAACTAACAATAAACCGAAACCTAAAAATAATTCGGCATTCTATATGAAAAATCTATTTTTCTATTCAAACCTGCTTGACTAGCATCGATTTTAAACTTTGCTTTTCGTCGTGGCTTTGCTTCGTAAAGACCAGTTCCAAAAACACACACTTGCGATGCATCACCAGTCATTGATGAACGAAGAATATCCAGATCAACATAGGTAGTTGATGTTGAAGAGGAATGAATAGGATTCAACATTGTTTGAATTGGTAATAACGAATTACAACTCGATGTTGCTTGAGTTGTAGAACCGATTGTTGTTTCATCAACATTATCAGTTTCGATTTCATACATTGTCGATAGAAGTGCTCGATTTTCATTGGGTTTACTGTAAACACGACACATGAACGGACTACCTTGAATGTGTTTTCCACCGTTTTTAATTGTGATAAAATATTTTCCACATCGCATTGGTTTGTAGTGAAACTAAAAGTTGAAAAGTGATACGGTGAATTCATCTGGAGATAGTTACTTCGTAACCATGCTCGGTTTCATTGGCATCAAGAAAAACTGTTGATGGTCCACTGATACCAACAGAAAATGTTCCTGTTCCAGATGACGAATCAGTAGGCGATTTGGATACGAAGAATTGACTTGCTTCGCCTTAATCAATATTTTGTTTGTCTCAAAAATAGTAGAACAACGTTATACCTGCATATGCATGGAAAAGACCTTGTCCAGTAGCTGCTATTGGCTTTGACGATGAAGATGAACGCACAGTTAATCGATGCGGATTATCAACAATTGGTACATGATTAAGACTGACATTGAGCAAATGATTGCCACAGATGTTTGGTAAGAAATAGATTTCATAACATTCTAAAAGCGATCTTCCTATACATTATTTTCCCAGAAAATCAATGACTCACCGGATTTGGCGGACTTATGAACTGTAATTGGTAAATTCATGTTTCCTTGAGGCGCTTGAATATAAGCTTGAAAAATACCACACGGTACTTCTGGTCGAACAGTGACTATACATGGAGTATTGACCTATTTATTCAGTCTCGAATGAAGAAAATGAAAAATTGTCACTAATTAACATACATGGAACTCAATAGGTTCGATTAAAGCACGTGGTGAGATGAGAGCTGGTGGCAGAGCTGGGGGTACAACTTGTTCTTGTAAGGGTTGAGTACGTAAACGTAAATGGTAGGGTGAATCACCAATATGGTGACCATCATATGTTAGAGAAATATGATAGTTACCTAGATATTAAAAAATAATATTGAATATAATCTTGTTTAATAAGTTTTCTTTTCTACCGGGCGTTTGACATGTGTAAAATACACGATAAATGCCAGCATCGACAATTTCGATTTGAATATCCGCTTTCGATGGGCCATCAATTGCGATAACAAGTTTTTTTAATTCCACATTCGGTGCATTCAAATCAAAATGACCTACAAGGAAAACAAGAATGTCATTAGGAGGAATGAAATTCACTTTGGAACAGACAATTGTCATTTGTAAAACCGTCTTTAAGACCGGGACCACTGGCTTCAATAGTAGCTTGTTGTTCGGCAGTTGTTATTGGATTGTCATAAAGAAATGATGGTGGAGGCAGTGGAAACAGTCGCTGTTCATCTTCGTCTTTACTTTTGCCTTGGTTTTCTGAACATGATTGATTGAGAAACGTTGATGATCGTTTAGCGGTTGATGCATACAAAGGTGATCCTACCGAAGTAGTATTTTTATTGAATCAAACGACGATTCTTGGGAGCAAAACGTTATCTTACTATTCAATTTTGGAGTGGATGGACTTTGCGTTGGTTTATCATCAGATTTAAGTAAACCTAGAATATAACAAAAGAAAATCGAACTGTAGAATGCGAGTGATGCATCGATTTACTGTTAAGACGTCGTAGAGGATTAGCGAAAGTAAACGATGGTCGACTATAAATTGGTTCTTTGGACGTCTGATGTCGTTCATTAAAACTTGCTGTTGTTCGTTTAGATAGACGTCTACTCATTTGATTTGTCGTTGATAGTTGCTGTTCATTATCAACGTCGTACACTTCTTCTGCTGTGTCATCCGTTGGTGATATTGGCAAATCGATATCATCAACATGTACAATGTATAACAATGTTTCAACGTAAACTATCAACAATAAATTATCAATAGTCGAATTTTACAATATAAAAGCTTACCATTGTTTCCATCTTCTGTGCTTTTGCTACTTGAACTACTACTTTTGTTACTGAGACGTTCATTTGATTGTGGAATTAATTGATTATTTGATGCGGATGATTCATTGTTAGTTTTGCGTAAAATTGAGGAAACTCGTCGAATCTTTGGCAACATTCTAACTATTAGTCGATCAGTCTAGTCTAGAGGATAACAAAGGAAATAGACCAGTGATATACGAAAAGAAAGACTTGATTTTCATCTGAAGATCGAACAAGAATGTACCATAAATGAGATTTCTATCATTGTTAGAACGAGATTTTCTGTCCATTAACTATTTTTGAAGTTGAAGAAAATCTGAAAATATTTCAAATATCAAATACAGACATGATCTCAATATAGATTTATTACTTGTACATATTTAAAGAGGGCGTTAGTAGACAACTTTAAAGGGAAAATACCAATTTAATTCACTCAAAATCGAAAAGGTCACTTTCAGAGTGTATAGTGAAGATTTCCATTCGGAAACTGTTGATATCTCATGCACATGTACACTTTTTATAATTGTTCCTTCATTCGCACACATTATCATCATATATCAGCACTAATATTTCACGAATATTCATCATCAATATTAGAACGTCATAGATGTGAGTTAAGAATTGCAATTTGAAACCGATAGTCTCTTAATTATATTTCATCGCGCCATTCACATTCAAACTGAGGAGTAGATGTCGTTGTCATCAATAGAAAATACTCATCGTTTCTCTCGAAGATTGTATTGAGAAACCAATTTTTAGGAATTGATCTGTAGAATTACTTTACGTTTTTTTATCTATCCGTCTTTTATCAGCACAAAATGAGAAATTCGATTATGTCTTATCATAATGAAGGGTATTTCCATCCCGTTGGCATGTCCGATGGTAGTTTTGCATGTGAGTGTGATAATATAATACGACAAATTATTCAAACGCAAATCTACATATAATATTCATCATAATTATTCAATTTCGATGGCATCAAGTACCGATAATTGGATCGCGGATACTGTGGGTGATTTTATACACTCACCAATCTGGTCAGCACCTGTTCGTACTTTCATCAACGCAAATTGTCTTATATTTGAATACGACGATGACGACGATAATGATACCGATGAACGCAGTGAAAAATCAGTAATCCTAGCAGAACAAAAGAATATTTTCACAAAATATCAACGTCTTGTTGATGCTTTAGTTACTAGTCTCGGTAAAGATTTAGATCTCGATGAAAATGAGGTAACAAAAGCGTGTCAAATTCCTGTACCTCTCGACGATTCAATTCTTTCCGATGAACGTTATGAACAACTGTATTCAGCCAGAGATTTCGACCTGTTTCAAAATATGATGAGAAAAAGAAATTTAATTCTTCAATTACAAGCACTGATTAGTTTACAATTACAATGGGGTTTAATCAAACCAGGTGACACTCGTGATGATCTTATTGTATCACTTCTATCACAAGCAACAGGATCATCATCATCACGACGTGGTTCAACAACGCTACCACAAGAACCCGCTCACATTCCAGTGATAAAACAACAAGCACGAAGAGAAGAACAGAAACCCAAATATAATGACAATGATGATGATGATGATGATGATAGTGATGTTGTTACGCCAAAAAAAGAATCACGACCATCTGTACGCAAAACTAAACCGAAAGTTGAACCGATACAAGCACCTAAAGAAGAACGCCGTTTACCTAGTTTACGACCGAAAGGTGTGCCAGATCTTGATGCTCAATGGCACAGAGATCTTCGACGAGGAGATTCAAAGGTTCTTATATTCATATTTCTTTTTGGAGTACAATGAACTATAATAGTTCTCTTGTCTTTAGAGTGACGATGACGATAACTCAGCAGACAATGATCAATCACAACATGAATCCACGCTTCAAACAATTAGCGCTATACCTGAAAAGGTACTTCGTCAGAAGTTACGTGATTTAACAGAACGCACAAGTTCAGCCGTCGATGATGAAACAGCCAGTGCTATTCGAGAGAGACAAAAGTTTTTAGAAGCTCAACGTAAGAAAATCATTGAGAATCAGCGTGCTAAACATGCACAAGAATTGGAACAAGAAGCACCTCATGCTCGACCGCAATCAGCTAGACGTGCTCAACAGTTTATGAAGACAGAAAATGAAAAGAAACAAACAGAAGAAGACGCACAACAACAACAACGTATACCTAATGATGAAATCAAGAAGCGACAAGCGCTTATGGCGAAACTCAAACGTGAAGTTGTCGAGAAAAAATAAGTCTTTTCCTCTGTTATAATAGTTATTTACTAAGATTTCTCTAAACACGTGCAAATGAGAGTAAACAAAGCCAACATATCCAAACCATAATATATCGTTTTCACTTTATGTCACAAATTTTCATTGATATCCTCGAACTTATTTTATCACATTTTCATTTGAATAAAATTCCATTTGATAGATTCAATCATTGAAACAAAAAGAATTTTTATCTTAATTTTGATTTATGACATATGTCAAAACGTATTCTTGAAAATGATTGTTAAAATAAATATGAATAGGACTTTGTTAGGAATTGAATCAACGTTCAAATGAAGGTTGTGTATACCGATCTGATAAAGATTCGCTCTTCTGTGGAGGCATCGATTGTCGGCTCTTCGAATAGTGAAAACAATATTTACTTTATCTTTCTTTTGTTTTCGTCATAGCAAAAGTAGGTCAGTGACTTCGGTAATAGAGGCATTTCTAGGCACATGCAAGATGAAAACAAAAGAACGGATTAGACATATTCATCGATATACCTGACGTCTAGAGACGAATGGGCTATATAAACGAATAGAATGTAAACATTTCTTTGATTCGTGTTGTATCGTAGACGAAATGCAGAAATCAACATTAGAAAAGATGGCCGACGAATTCGGATCGAATAAACGTTTCGAAAGCAGTACTTTCAACTTCGTAAGTAAAATAAATCACTGACTTGACAAGAATAACAATTCACTTCGAATTTGATTTAGAAAAAGGACCTCAAAAATGTAGTGGCTGAACCAATTTCTTCATTAGGTAAGAAAACATAAATTAGTTCACCTTAACTCGTGCTGTTTTTTAGCAGAACAAACACAAAACTATGCTAGCCAATATAGAATGGCACAAATGATCAATGTGTTATTAACGGTCATTATCTTCATTTTCATCCTCGGGTTTATATTTGAACTGAAATTTGTAATAATCCTTTACACAATCGTTTTCGTCTCCACCCAGGTCAACAAATCCGATGCCGGATCCGATCGGATTCCTGGAAACGGAATTGCATTGGAATCCGACTAGAAAAGTCCCGTCGGTTGTTGCAAATTTTATGAGCGATCTTTCTAGCTATATTCTATGATGACCCTTAGAAAATCCAGGAAATCCATGTTTCGGATCCGTCGAATTCCTGTAGGATCTGATAAAATTCTGTATTGGATCCGAGTATGGGATTGTTCGACCTGGGCATTGTCTGGACACTCTTCGTATTCATCTGTCCAGAATATGTTGATTGGAGAACTTAGCGACAATAGTTTATTCTTTTCAATGACTATCTTACCTGTCTCAATAGTTGATCGATTGATGATATTTGATTGACCATAAACTATGTACTTGTGTAATGCTAAGACTATTCATTCTCACCCTCATTAGATCACCTTTTGCATATATTCATCTTTCTGAGAAACAATTACAAATACAATCATTCAGATATATAAACTGAATCATACTTTCATCTTGAAGGGACAAGAGCAATATCATGAGTTGTCGTTGATGAAGCACATTGCATCTCCGACTGTGGTAATAAATCCTCGCTTTGGTTGAATAACTCACACAAAATGTGAGAACAACAACAATCAACAATCTGATTGATGTGCTCAAAGGAAGCAAACAAAGAGCAATCATAGCTGCTGGACATAGGATCAAGTTACAATCCAAGAACGGAGATACGTTCGATGTCGAAGTAGAAATCGGCAACGATCAAAACAAAGTTAGAAGGTAAAAATGAACTTCTTTTCAGAAGAAAAGGCATAAGTTTTTTTCTTCACCTTCGAAGATCTTGGCATGGACGAAGAAGAAGATGTAATTCCTTTACCAAATGTTAATTCGGCGATTTTGAAAAAAGTAAATCTCTTTTGTCTTGATAAAATGAATGATCTTCTATTGGAATCAAAGGTTATTCAATGGGCAACTCATCATAAAGATGATCCACCTCCACCAGAAGATGATGAAAATCGCGAGAAGAACACGAGTGACATTTCATCTTGGGATCAAGATTTTCTCAAAGTTGATCAAGGAACACTTTTCGAACTTATTCTCGTGTGTAGTTTTCGATTTGTTTGTCTTTCCTATTCTTCTCTCTTCTTTCCACAGGCTGCAAATTATTTGGATATCAAAGGTTTACTCGATGTTACATGTAAAACAGTAGCCAATATGATCAAAGGCAAAGCATCCGAAGAAATTCGACGTACCTTCAATATTAAAAATGATTTTACTCTTCAAGAGGTTTGATTTCGTCTTTTCTTCGGAAAACAATTTTCTAAAAATTGGTATTTTTAGGAAGAACAAATCAAAAAAGAGAATGAATGGTGCGAACAGAAATAAATGTTCAAAACCTTTAAACATGACTTTTGTTTGATGTGCCTTTTGTTTTTTTTATTCACAACAGTTCGATACCCTGAAATATTACTGAGTTCTTCTCTTTTTTTTCTTCTCTTTGTTTGTTCACTCCATCATATGAATGTATGTACTTTACCTCCTATCATAAAATAACTTCTGCTTCTAGAACTTCTCTTTTCTTCGGAATTAAACCTAATGAAACTAATTAGTATTGATTTTTATTTGAGATTTTGGTCAAAGGAAAAAAGAAAAGATCGATCATTTTCGTAGAAAAGCAAAAATAAGTCAGATATGAAAAGTCGACCACCGATTAAAAATAATTTGAATGAACAATTAAAGATTTACTATGCTTATCGAGATGAAGCGATACGAAATCGAAAAGAAAACCCAAAAACATCACAATGAGAATTTTTCATTTTTAATTATTACGAATAAAGAATTCCTTCGTGTCAGATTAATATTTCGTCACATACCTGATCAACCATCTGTGCCAAAAAATCTTCGTCCAACAACAACGACAACACCATTGTCTCTTTAATTTACTACAAAAACAAGATTCTGTTCGTTTGAATAAACCATCAACTCAAATCGATCAACCTGAACTAAGTCCCGCAGTCATTGTTGATGTTCCTTTTGTACCTTCAACTCCCACGTTCCCTTCAGTTCCATCAGCAACACCATCGACCTACACTCGATCAATTTCTTCTTCTTCTTTGGTCAAGTCCACAGCAACTCAACAAACTACTCGATGTCCAGTCTGTCAAACTCCATTCGATACTGCAGGTCTCCATTGGCCAGTGAATGATGCCTGTGGACATACAACATGTTTTCAATGTTTTAAAGAAATTCATGAAAGATGCACCCGCGATAGTTGCTCCCTTATGAGATTTGCTCTTCTACGAGATTTACTTTTTAGTATTAGGAAACAGACTTTTTACAAATTACAAGGGCAATTTATAAATTAAATTTATTTATTTAACGCAATGGTAATAGAAGGTAAAAATAAAAGAATAATAAGAAGACCGAATTATGAAATAAAAAGGTAAGTAACCCTTTGCAGGCGGGCATAAAAAATACGCTAGTTCCAATATATCTCTAAAATTGGGTAGCGCAGAGATGCACGAGCTGAGGCAGCAGATCTGGTCTATTTCATCTTGCAGCACTGTATGATATCAGATTTTTCAGGTATATTCGAAGTGGTATATATACCATGTCCGTCTTCAAAGAATTAAAGGATAGTATAAAATAAAGCAGAGCAGAGTAATTTTTACTTTAAATTAATAACGTTCTTCTTGTCAGTCAATGATTCATATTGAAGAGTAAACCTCATAGGGGAGCAACTATCGCGGGTGCATCTTTCGTGATACCACTACTGTCATGTGTGGAAAATGTTCCGATGGAATAGAAATCAACAAATTACAGTTCTACTTTCACCACGCAGATAATGACTCATTTTTTCATACTGAGATAATATAGAATTCACATTATTTACTTAGTGTCGTATGAAAAACATTTTACTAATTCTGTTATCTTATCAATATCAGCACGACCATATACAGTATAAAACAGTTCTAATTTATTAGTCAAAGTAAATCATTATGTCACTTGTGATTCTATTCGGATTTATTTTCTTTGTCCCCAATATCATTTGTCAAGTCATCCCATTGCAGTTTGACTTTGCAATTGATCAACTACGTTCTCAGCATCATTATACACCTCTTGATATAGATAATTATGCGGACTATAATTTCTCACCGGATGACTTCCTGGGGAAGTTGTCCTCTGTATTGTCTAATAATAAATCGACCCCGTGCGAACGAGATTTTAAAATGATTCTTGAAGGAATTACAAAACGAGAAACATGGGCTATCAAAACAATTGATGCATGGGGTAAACCATTACCATCAGGTGTTTTGTCTGGAAATGTCTATTGGGTTGGTAATTATGATGAATGTTTACAAGATGCTTATCTACCAACAAATAAATCGTTTGTATCGCAACCATTTCAAACACAATATTGTAAGTGAATTGTGATTTCGTCTTCAACTCAAAGATGTAAACCAATGAATCATTTTAGGCACACTTTTACCCAGCCCATCAAAACCAAATGCAACAATACCACTTGGCATCACTCTTGGTCTTTGCCTTCCATCATCATGTGATCGAGAATCAACCATCGATTTATTAGAGATGATTTTCAAAAAGAATAATTTTACAAAAAATAATCTCGTCTGTTCAAGTGATCCTGCATATGGACAAGAGAGTTTTGCATCAGGTGCAATTGCAACCTGCATTGTTCTTTCATTATTAGTATTTGTCGTTTTACTGGGAACAATTGTTGATCTAATTCTCAGCTCACATCGACAGGAATCAGCTGATGATGTATCGTCGAATATTAATGGCTACAATCATTTTTGGGATACAGATACTACTCAGTTTGATTTTGTAAACAAGTCAAAGAAGCAGAAACGTCTCCATTTTCAATATTTCACACGTTCATCATCTCTAACGAATTTCTTAGCGGAATTTTCTGCAATCAAAACATTACGTCGAATATTCACAATGAAAACGAAGAAAGATAACGATTCATTTCCATTTATCAATGGTATTCGAGTATTGTCTCTATGTTGGGTCATCATCGGTCATTCAATTGCTTTTGGTTTATCTTACACAAGTAATATTGTTGATATTCTTGTTTGGACTCGTAATGTATCTTTTCAATTGATTATCAATGCATTACTCAGTGTCGATACATTTTTTGTATTGAGTGGCTTCTTAACCGCTGTTCTCTTTATTCGAGAAGTCAAAAAGAAAGAAAAACTTTCGGTTCGTCTTGTTATTCTTTATTATGTTCATCGATATATTCGATTAACACCAACATTATTACTTGTTATCTTAGTCAGTATTAATTTAACACCTTATTTCGGTCAAGGACCTGTTTATCCTACTCAGAAAGGTTTTGAATCAGACGATTGTCGTTATGTACATTGGTGGACATCAATTCTTTACATTGGAAATTTTGTCAATCCACATGAAATGTGTTTAGGTATTACTTGGTATCTTCATAATGATATGCAATTTCATTGGATTGCACCATTAGCTTTGATTCCATTTGTACTCGGACGAAAATCAATCTCTTTTATTATTGCCATACTTTTTGTTCTGATTGGAATTGCATCGATTACAGGTATTCTCCTTTACTATCCTGATATGTCAGTCGATGTATTGGAGGCGTTTACAGACAAAGTAAGTTATTGCTTCACTATAATTTGAATACACGTTATATGCGGTGCTTTTAGCCTGGACCTACTTTCTATAAAAATATTTATATTACGCCATGGTGTCGTATCTCTGCGTATGCAGTTGGCCTTCTCACTGGATTCATTCTGATTCACTTTGGCCGAGAATATCGACTGAAGAAACTTATTAAAATTTTTGGAACAATATTGAGCATTGTTCTCGCTTTACTTTGTTTATTCGCAACTTATCCCGAATATATTCTTCCATCAGGACTCAGTCGATCAATTTTAATTGCGTATCAATCATTAGCGCGAACCTTTTGGGCGATTTTTATCGGGTGGATCTTATTCTTATGTAGTATTTATCAAGGTGGATTAGTTAACAAAATACTTTCTTGGTCAATCTGGGCGCCATTAGCACGACTTAACTATTCGTGCTATTTGATACATTCAACTGTTCTTCATACGATGATTTACAGTCAACGAATGCCGTTTTTCTATCAAGCGCATTTGGTTGTGAATAATTTCATTTCTCAGATCTTCTTCAGTTATTTAGCTGCTGTTTTTGTGACGATCTTTTTCGAAACTCCATTTTTTGTTCTCGAAAAGAAATTATTCAAACGTTCATGAATATATTCATACTAAAAGATAAATATCACTCACATTCACCCCTCTTCCCATCAAATGCATATAGTGAGTTCACTTGCAGCATTACCGTTTCGTGCGATGGAACGAATTGACGGTAAAGAATTCTTTAACCATTGAATAAGTTCATCATTGTTATTCGCTGAAGTAGACTGACAGTAATGTTTTTCATCTTCACATTGAACATGTAACGATAGAAGACTGACCATATTTTTTACAAGATAGACGATACTTTCGCGATTCATTACTTTTATGTGAAGAGTTGTACATTGAATACCCAGTGATGAATGACAAAGTTGCACACATTCATTATCATTAAAATAATAATTGTATGCCTTGAAATTCAGTTCACGGATGGATCTATGTCGATAGTGAAAGAGTGCTTTCTGCAATGGTAACGGTGCAGTATGATACAGATTCAAAATATGAAGATTAGGCGCATGGTCAAGTAGAGTTTGGATCGTCGAATGGTAAATATCAGCAAGAGATAAAATAGCCAGTGCTCTCAGTCGATTAAAAGTTGGAACAGTAAGCCAAAACTGATCGTAAGAAGGGAATTGAATAGTAAGATACTCAATATTGGATGCGTGAATGTTCGATGCTGTTAGTTCATGAGCATACATTACACCTGTGTACCATTTCTGATGATCGTTATGATGATCGGAGAATATAAACGATCGAGAAAATTTGTTGATGTTATGACCAAATGCACTCGTTAGATATATCGTGTTTCCTTCTACGAAACATTGAGTCGATGATTGCGTTTTATCAGTCCAGAATGGACGTTGATATGATTTGATTAAATGATCAGCAAATTTTAGAATATCTGGAACAGAAATCAATGAATGTTCCATGTGATATTGAAAGAATTTCAGATTCGGCAAATAAGTAGAAATGATTTCTTCCCATTGATAGCCGAAAAGAGTTGTAGATTTGGCACATATATTCAAACGACGTAAATTAGGCAGATGTCGAAAGAACTCGATCACTACTGATATCGGTCCGTCTTTGACCAGTAAGTTTAGTTGTAACAATGAAGAAATAGTTTGTGGGACATAACCATAATTGAAGGAGAAATCGATCGACGCGGAAAGATTCTTCAAACGTGGTGTAAATTCAAACAGTCGGTTTATTTGACTAAATTCGAGTTCATTGACATGAATAAATAAATTCTCGATTGACTGAGAAGTTCTTTGCGGTAGAACGAAAAATGATTTCGTTTTTATGCACAGATGAATGTTACATTGAATCAGTTTTGATAAACTCCAAATATGATTAACGATTAACTGAAAGGATTGTTCTATTTGATGAGTTTCGTAGAAATGAACTTGTAAATAAGTCAGATTAGACAAGAGTTGACATTTATCTAGGATTCCCATTAATGTGTAACACGGGCGAAAACTGGTTATGGAAAGTGATTGTAAACGAGTCAACTGATTCGCGTAAGATAAGAACATTTGAAACTGCCCAAGCGTTTGATGCGAAATCAGAAGTTGAAGAGAAATAATTCGATCGACAATAAATGGTAAATGTTGTTTACAAATCATATTCACATGATGGTGGGTCAGATTTTTTAAATTAAGATCATAGTTTAGGAACTGCTGATAGAGAAGATTCTTGAAGCGATTGTTCAGACCGTAGAAACATTGAAGGAGATGAATACTATCGATATAATCGAAAACGTTTAGTATAATCTCATTAGGCAAACGTTCGAAATTGGTTTCGGACATTGTTTGATTTTCATATATGTGAAAATTTCACACGATAAGATTAGATATGTTGTCAACCTGAAAAAGTAAAAATAAGTTTAAATCGTAATTTGCTTCATACGTTTTTTTTGTCTGTTATGAAAAAAGACAGACATTTTTAGGTAAAACGACGCAACCAATTGGATATTAGAGGTAAAAGAATTACCTGTGAATTTATGAATAACTTTTTCAGATATGTCAAATTTACATCGATAGTTCGTTTATCACAGAAGACGCTCTTTCTTAGCTCCATGTAGATATAAATACTATGAGTTGATGAAAATATACAAAGATATTTTTTAATTGAAGTTCCAGATGATGTGGTTTTGACATAATCAGTTCAAAGAGTAAATGCTATCTTGTTAAGAAAAGCTCAAATTCGATTAATGTTCTATTATTAGAAATTCATAGATTATTTAGCAGATCCACTGAATTTGTCTTCGGATCCTTCAACTGTGAAATCATCTTCAAATGTGCCATACAAATGTTTAGATTTATTGATGCACTTTTACCAGACGTTAGCAAAAATAATTCTGCTATTTTTTTACAGATGAAAACTATAATCAATGTCACTTAGTGTGAATAGAGTAGATACTTAATTGATCGCTGTTTGTCTCCTTCTTGTTACTGCTAACTGTATTGTTCCATCAGGAAGAATCGCCTGTCGCTTTCTCCAACACAGAACCATTCGTCTCAGTTTATGCCGTAGATCAGACGACGATAGAATGGATATGAATGGATACATATGTGTTACATAATCACGAAGCATAAATGCATTCGTCAACGGTATTGCTACTATATCATAGGAAAGGCCGTATCTAAGCGCAAAAATTATCGTTACCCATGGAGTATCGCAAACTAAATAAAACATTGAAGTTAGTAACATTTGAATGGTCGGTTTGCGATGCTTTCGCCATTGGACTGACTGATGTAATCGTTGTTTTTGTCTGATAATACGGACGATTAGAGTTAAACTGGATAAAACTATGATAAATATTCCGACAATATGATGACAAATGAGCTCCCAGGACCCTAACATTTCATTATCTAACGAACAAGGATTGGTAGTAATTCCAGCAAGAATATTATCCGCTGAATTTTGACAGAATGGAACAAATGTGATTACAGAAAAAAAGATAAGAGAATACGTAAGTAGGATAATAATGGGCAGATAATGAAGGAGAAAACGTTTGGATCTCATTCGTAGCCATTGATCGTGAAAAATGAGTATGTGTCGTTCGATTGCTGCCCAAACAACCAAGATGATCTGTGTAGAGTACAGTGCATAGTCAATGAAAAACCAAATAAGATAGTATAAGATTGGATTCCACGCGAGATCAGCAAGAAGGTTGATATAAATATTATAGAAGAGATTTGAGACGCTGCGTACGAAGACGACAGAAAGGAGAACGATAATGATATGATTATGAAGAGCACGACGAAGTGTTCGATCGAAAAGAAGAAGTGATAGAGCACAGAAAGCACTGATTATGGATAGAATATTTGCGGTTCGAGCAATCCAAAATTCCGGCGGCAAAGACATTGTTGGCCCAAAAATACTTTATTATCAAATGGGAAACTCTTTTTTCAACAAACTTAAATCTTTCCGCTGCAACCGTAACTAATTGAATAACAAATGTGAAGTCTGCTCTGTCATATACCATTAGAGAAGAAATAAAAGCGTGTCATAGATTTGTTCTTTTATAATTAAAATTTGCGGATGTCTCATAGAGATAAATGAACCGTATAGCAAGCGGTACTTTTATTCACACGAATAATCCTCAAAGTTTAATGCACAGTTTATAAAAAATATTTCATAATCCAGACAAAAATAATATCAGAAGTTCTCATTTGTCGATTCTTGCATCCTTTGTGATACTCATGCAGTCTACTGTGTCTACTAGCGGGTGCATTTAGTTGTGAATAATATTGTGACTGAAATATTTTTCTACTCTTCGAAGTGACTTCAAGAATAATTTTTTTGTAACGTTTAGTAGAAATATGAAATACACACTATCCATAGATTACACATGTATAAACGAAATGCACGACTTGATTTCACAAGTACAAAGAAAACGAACGTTTGGGCTATTGAAACTTAGATCAGTAAACAATCAGTTTTCATTAGTAGTACGCGAACGACGATTGCCAATAGAGCGATTAGCGGGAAGTGCAACACGGAGACTCAACGAAAATAGCGCCGCAGTTGCTAGACAGAGTGGCAGAATAATGAAAGATTGAACACATGCACTATCATAATATAGAACTGAGAAGAATCCAAATGCAAAGATGGAAAGAATTCCAAAAAAGAAACTAAAGAAACGAATAAAATCTTCACTTAATGAGAAAAGACCATAGACTACACACAAATCTAACACATATACTGAGATCGGTCCAAAGCGAATAATCATTATCTGCGTATCGTTCAAACAAAACTGTGAAATGTTTGGGTTTTTTGATAAAACAGAACAGTGATAATCATGGTACGAAAAGCCGCATCGTGTTGCAAATATACTCGTTGTCATGTTTAATCCACGAGATTGCAAAATTAAATCATGCGAATGAATTCGATGCGAATCAAAAAAGATGCAAAAGGTGCTGAGAGCCATTGCAACTGTGGCTAGTCCCAAATGATATGATTCACCAGTCGTACCAAATCGTATTCTTATCATAGTGCGTAGTGTTGTAAGATGTGCGTATGTTGAAAATCGAAGAATTTTTATATTCAATGTTTCTGAAAAACAAACTTTAGGAAGAGTAGCTTTAAGATATTGAGAAAATGAATCAAATGGTATGTAAGATAAACTTCCCATATAACTACGAAGAATGTTTTTAGATGCGGTATCAATGTCAAGACTCACGATTAATGGCATTGTACAAAGGAATAAACTTCTGTACCCACGACGCCAAAAAATGTGATCATCTATATTAACAGACAGAAGCGGTCACGACCGGGTCATGTAGCGGTCACTGCAGTGCTAAGAAGGAAGTAAACCAATTGGTTCATATTCAGATCCATAACTGCTGTTTCCATCGATGGTATCACTTACATGGTTAATCATTCTAAAAAAAGTCACCCAACGTGCTTCACAGCTTTAAATATATCCAAAAGAAAATAGAACATTGATTATACTTTTTGCATGCGAATACATCTTATTCGTTTGTTTTCAAAGTTCGATGTTAGGGATAATTCTACATCAACGCAGCTGTCTGGACCTGTGCAAATGCAATGAAAAAAACAATCTATCATCGATTATTAGCATGCTACGCACGAAATCTTATTTCGCTTTTCCTATTTACGTTTGGAATTTATTTCATCTTTTTCTTAAACTGACGTGAATAAGGTCAAACTCTTAAACCAAAGACATTTTCGTAGCTACGCTTAGTGTGGTAATGGTGTTTACCTATGTTACTGCTCTCCGCGAAACTTACAGAACTCTATGGACTTGAGCAGAACACGTTTTGATTTTGTTCCTTGTTTACTATTTAAGACGTTCAAAGAATCACCATTTTTCAGTTCGTATTTCTTATTCGGATCGAGTTACCATTCATTCTTCGAAGCAAAAATGGTATTTCAAGTGCTTAGGTGAGATAGTACGTCAGTTTCAGCAGTCGCATTCTACGCAAGAAATAATCTCACTTGATTTGAAAACCTTTGGTTAAATATAGTCCTTACAAACTTCAAATATACTCAATGATAACTGTGACGATTTTGGCACTCTAAGTTCCAATTCATCCATATCCATCGGTATTTTTCGATCACTATAGCCACATAAGAAACGCTTGAGGTTCATAATGAATTACAAGAGCACTAACTTCATTGGATTATTTTCCTGATCATACAATTATTCAGTGATTAAACAGAAAAAAACAAAAAAAAATCAAATTTTTTTCAACAAAAAGCCAACGATTGGCATTACTATTAATAAACAATAAAAACTAAGATTTTTTCTATTGATATTCGATTCAAGTTGCATGAAGTCTTGCTTGATCGTGCGTAATTGTGTATCCATCTCAATTTGGGTTTCCCTAAATTTACGATTTGTTTCAAATAATTCATTTTGCGTTTCACCGAGCTTAACGTTTGTTTCAAATAATTCATTTTGCGTTTCACCGAGCTTACGATTTGTTTCAAATAATTCATTTTGTGTTTCGCTAAGTTTACGATTTGTTTCAAATAATTCATTTTGCGTTTCACCGAGCTTAACGTTTGTTTCAAATAATTCATTTTGCGTTTCGCCGAGCTTAACGTTTGTTTGAATCAGCCGGTTTTCTGTTTGGTCGAGTTTGGCTTTAGCCTCAATCAATTCACTTTGTGATTCACGTAGTTTCGAATTTGTTTCCGCTAAGAGAACTTCGTTTCGCAGCAGATCCTCTTCGGCCTTCTCGAGGATTGCCTTTGTTCGATCCAGTTCGTTCTTGGTTTCGGCGAATTCATTTTCTATTGCACGCAATGACTGCCGTAGTCGTTCACTAAGAGCCAATTGTTCATCTTCTGATTTCTTGCTTTGAACTGTACGATTCTATAAAAAAGACATTTCTCGATCAGTTTTCACAACGAATAGATAACGTCCACATGCATTAAGAACTACTTACACTGATAACATCAGCCATACCGATTGTGGACGACACATTCGAAAAAATCGACGATGTGAATACAATTCTATCGAAGTGTTTGTACATATATATGTCTGTCGAAACAATAAATTTCGTCCGTCGTATCGATATATATGAAAAGCACATACACTTTTCTGACCATAGACACAAGTGTCGGTTGTTGACAGAAAAGAAAAAGAGAAATGGTAACAATGTTCCTCTTACGGACAAAATCAAATAGTAACCGATTAGAGGACGAAAAAGAAGTTTAACTCAAATTGAAGTGAGTCTATAAACAATTCGATGCTAAATAAAGACTCGTAAGATCTTCGAGATATGGCATGATGGACATGCAACTTGCGAATTCTTTTTGCAATTGTTTATATTATATGCGAAAGATGGAACGAAGAGAAAAACGAGACAATGCGATTGAATTAGTTGTAGTCTTCTTGATCTTGTCGAAATACTTGTATTCGTAGTTAACGTTTTATAAACATTTATTCGGACATTCAGTGAAAGATCGACGTTAAAAACAACTCTACTTCAATGTAATAACGATTGTCTATGATGTTTCATTTTATTTCTATTCACTAGCGCAATCTATCGCTTTATATCATACCTGTTGAGGTCCGTTACCTGACGCTTTTCAATTTAAAATGACTGTTAACATTATTTCTTTGCGTAAACAATATTGTAATCTGACTCTTGCATTGTTGGATATTTACGGTTATTGTTGATTGCAGTTGTTGTTGTTGTAGGGTGATTGACAGGAGTAATGCTTCGCTCGTTGAATAGTCTTGTTGATCAATCATCATCCTCATCATCAAGTGTTTACAATTATAAAACATTCAATGAAATGGGAACGAGACCGACAAGTGCAAGAATATTAAATCAATCATCGATAAAATCAAATAACAAATCAAATAAAAATAACAGAAATTTGAAAAAACCACTTGTGAATCAATGCACACATCTCTCTTTACCTCCAGTATCGAATCCTATATCTATACAAGATGTTATCATCGAAGGAGAATGGCAACTACAAGGAAATACTATCGATCATACGAAATGTAAATTGTTGGGTATTGAAAGTTTAGTTCTGATCTGCCATGATATTATGAGCAAAACCCAAGATCATATGCGATTAAAACAGCAAGAACAACGAATATCTTTCATTAGTTGGAAATTATGGTCATCGATTAGACTTGATGCTTATAGAACGTTGACAGATGCTGATCGTGCTGTACTCAATCGCGCTCATATCTATGATTTGATGACAATTGTCTTTGAAGCCGCATCAACAAGTAGATCAATTTCTCACCTTGTTTGTATTTGGCGCGAAGCTTCTGAACATACCAAACAACGACATCCTACTACATCTCTGAATCAAATAAAGGTTTCCTATGAGAATGCTTTTCGGCATTTGACTCACACGCCGGACAATTCTCTTCTTCAAATAGCAGTTCATGCATCACTTCTCACAAGTCATAGTCGAATGGATTTGCAAAATTTAGGTGAACAATTTGGTGTGAAAAGAAATCAATTTGATATGGGTTTAATTCGAGATTCGAGTCAACACTTTCAAGACTTCATTAAATTTCTACGCGAACAAAAATTTAAACAAGAGCGTGAGCAGCAAACAGTAGATACAAATAAATTACCGTATAAACCAAGAAAAAAACGAGGTCTCAATGCAAATGTTTCTGGCACGAAATTTTCTGCCGGTAAGTTGCTTTTTTCTTCGGAACATTTCAATGGCTTCTAAAAAAACAACAATATTTTCGTTTTTCAAGTTCGTCTAGCTTCTGATGTCTTTGGATTCGCCATCAGTTCGGAAAACGACTTTACAACGAACATGATATGGAATGATACATTGATATCCATGGAGATCGTCTCTGCACTTAAACCTTTCCAGAAAATTAATCATTTTCCCTCAATGAGTGAAATCTCGCGTAAAGATCTATTAGCTCGAAATTTCGACAAGTACATCTATTTCACCGATTTTCATATTTCATCAAAATTTTTTCTCTCAAAGGTTATCACGCGTACTGCCAGATGAATACAACTATACACCAAGAACATGGATATTACCCAATGAATATAATGCTTGGTATTCATATGCATCGAGTAAACCAAAATCAGATTCAGTTGCCTACATTCTTAAACCAAATAATGGTGCTATGGGTCATGGGTAGGAGGTTTTCTTTGATATAGAATTGATTTAGTCGTTGTTTATCAATAGAATTCAAGTTTGCTGTGATTATGAACGCATTCAACCAATGGATAATTACATTGTTCAAGAATATCTTCAAAATCCATATTTAATTGAAGGTTATAAATTTGGTAAGAACAGATCTTTTCAACGAACCTTATTTTTTTGTCTCTTTTTCATTACAATCAGATCTTCGAATCTACGCACTAGTTACATCTTGTGATCCACTTCGATTGTTTATATTCAACAATGGTCTCGTTCGTATGAGCACAGAAAAATACGAAGCAGCTAGTCGAAAGAATGCTGTAAGTTCGATTCGACGTTAGACATTCTCTTTGAATTCGATTCGTTCTTAGTCTCATCTCTATATGCATTTAACAAACTACTCTGTGAATAAATACAATGTTGACTACGAAATAAGTAAATCCAGTACAAATGCTGAAAATACAGGAAGCAAACGTTCATTGAAATATTTATTTGATTATTTACGAACACAGAAAGAAGATGCAAATAAACTCTGGAAAGATATTCAAGTAAACCCTTTCTCTTCGAGAAAATCAAATCATCATTTATTTGTAGAATGTTGTGATAAAAACAGTTTTTCTCTCTCAACCACATTTATTCAATGCCTATCGAATGTGTCGTCCCGGTGCGTCTCCATCAAGTGAAAGCGTCTGTTTCGAATTACTTGGCTTTGATATCCTAATCGATCAGGAACTAAAACCATGGGTGCTTGAAGTATGTATCCGACAATTGACACGAAGAAAAAGTACTGGTTGATTTTCGTAGGTGAATCGTTGTCCAAGTTTTGGCACAAATGAACAAATTGATTTTGATATAAAAATGAAATTGTTGCTTGACACGTTTCAATTACTTCGTTTTCGAACTTTGGATCGAAAGAAAAGTTTAGCGATTGAAAAAGCGGAAGCACAGCGTCGTTTGTATAGAAATATGGGTAAAACAAGTCGGTTGTTTGATGATTCTGCCTTAACAGTTTCCAATGGAAACTTTTCCGATCTTCGAAGTCGGCAGAGAAAGATTGCGGATATTGTATGTCACGTTCTGTCCTATCTTCGAGGAAAATTTCATTTGTCTGATGTTTAGAAAGAAAAATTATATCTTCTTCATCGTGAAATCGCTCGTGAAACATTCGAAAATCGTCATTTAGGCGATTTTATTCGTCTTTTTCCTGTTGAAGATAGTATTCGTATGAGTGAATTGATGAATTTATTGACAAAATGTTTCGATGTTTTATACACAAATAAAAAAGATTTATCTTGGAGTAACAAGTATTATAATCGTTATAAAGAAGATGAATTATTAGATCAACTGGCTGAATTAGAAGATTTAGAACAGAACGATCAAAATCAAAATTCTCGTTTGGCTCACGTAAGTTTCATTTGGATTTTGCGTTGATTTTTTAAATAAAAATTGAAAAATGTATCTAACATATGATTATTGAAAGATCGGAGAGAAAGGAATTATTTGACGAAAAGAAAAAGAACATTCTACTCACGATCCTTTCAGAGTGCGCCAATTAACAAAACTCCTTTTTCATCTTGGTCAGCTGTAAACATTACAGAAGTAAGTTTTTCTCAAATACTGCACTATTTATTTATTATCAATATTCAATAACATCATATATCTCACACAATGTGTTTATTAATCCCCATATTTAGTCCGTATAAACCTGTTGTCTCTACTGTTCTACTGATTAACATTCGTAATTCTATCTTCGAACCATTTTTAGACGATTAACAATCTTCCAGCCATCGATCGTGGATCACCAACCGCTAGTTTTGAATCGGAATGCAGTGATAATGCTGATTATGAAGATGATGACGAAAATGAAAATGAATGTCGGTTAGATTCACCACCACCATCTGATTTAATTAGTAAAGCATCAGCATCAACCACGACGATCAAATCAAATAATTCGCTAATTAAAAAATACGCATCCCAATCACGAACAGATATTTCTTCCACATCGATTTCCTCATTACTTCTACGAAAACAACGCCAATCTCAATGTATTCCTTCTACTCTTCCTCCGAAACCTCCAGTAAACTCATCGATTTCCAGACTAAATCGACTTCCAGATAGAAAAATCAATCCCAACGAATCGCAATCTCGACTAGGTGCGAGAATTGTGAACAACAAATCTCAAACGATCACATACACGACCATTATACAAACACCAAGAAAAACAACGAATGGTCGAACAACAACTCTTACTTTACCTAAAGTTTGAATTAGAAATCATTTCTTGTTGTTTGCATCGGTAAATTTTGTTTAGGAGTGTCAACTGAATACCGAAGAATTGAATCGTCTTTATCAATTGATACTCGAACAAATGCATCAGTTATGTATTCGTTATCCGAACAAAACTGCCGATGAAACGCGACGAATTTGCCATGAAGTAGTTGAAAATTGGAATAAATATCGAAATTCAATCGGAGATTTTTGGCTCAGTCGATTAGATGCATCAAAAAGGCAAGCAATTATTCGAATTGTTTGGACTAATGTTCAACAAATAATCAAACAAATTTGTACCATTGATGAACCTATTGAACATCTTTCATTAAGCAAACATTTAATCAAATTAGAACAACGTTTACTATCAAATCACGGACAATGTCTTTGGGACATTTGTCAAAATCGACATAAGTATTTTCACGTTGAAAATTCCTCATTTTTCTTTAGCATTTCATTTGTAATTTAGTTCATGGTCAACGACATTGATGTCGAATACGGTGCGTTTATCTCCGATTGAATTATCATGCTGTAATCGGTTTGTTGAACTGTGTAAACAAGCGTTATTTGTTGTTTATCGTTATTCAACTGATGAGAAAACGGAAAAACAAAGACAACAACAAACTGAAGGAACCACAGTGGCAGTTATCGGTTAAATCGTTCGTTTCTTTTTCCACTCATTACACATAAACGCTCGTTTTTTGCTTTACCGGTGGGTTATTTTTATTTTTTCAACTTTCTATAATTAGCAAACATCCGTGAAGTAGAAAAATACGAAAATAGAACATATCAGTCTTTTTATGGAATGATTTTTCTCATTGTATAGTTCAACGAAATAAAGAAAACTTCCTTTTTTATTCTCGATGAAGAATTCGATCAAGGTCTGTGTCTTCGCTGAAATCTTATCGAAATTGGTTCGTAAAACAAACGCAAAAAGATTAAAATCGCGTTTTTTTCTATTTCAAGATGTTCTCGGCGATATATATCTATAGAAATTGACTTGAACTACGTTTCTAAAGTTCAGTTTAGATAAATCATGATATAATCTGGCATATCATATCGATATGAAGCGTATCGTACTTGAGTTGACTTTTACCTTTTGCCCATCGGTCAAATTACAACGAGAAAAATACATGAATATGTATGTATGTATGTATGTATAATCGATTATCGTTCAATCAATGTTCACCTTGATATTCTGTTGCTTGAACGATGATAAAAACCGAGCATACGGCGAACGTTCAATGAGATATATTACATAAAATATTCATTTTTATTGGACTTGCATTTTCAAATAAACCGACGCAAGATTCAGATGATTTCATTGTTCGAATATCCGATCACTCTTTCGAGTTCTTGTCCACATTCCTCTTCGCTTCTTACTTGTGTTAGTCGAATGGGTGGAAAAATTGATCCGGAATTTTTACTTCAATGTCAAATAACTGATAAGATCTACGAGAAGAAAATTGATCAATTGAAACCGATTCCAATCACTTACGACTTCTTACCCTCGAACCTTCAATCATCCGAAGAACTTTTTATTGATATTGGTATCGAAGATAATCGACAGTTTTACAATCGATTTGAATTTCAACATTATAATTCCTGGTTAATTAATCCAAATCGATGGAATATCATCTACTCATTCACTGACGACCTAATCATTTGAATAGACTGAAAAATGAACCAATGTGATTAATATTACATATTCATATAAAAGCCTAATTGTGTTTTTTGCTTTCTAATTTACCTTGAAATAAAGAAAACATAATCCTTGAACATCAGAACATATCATCCTTACTGTCTGCATGTTTTCGCAACGATACGACTTCGAAAGCTTTTTTTCTCTTCGTTTTTCTCGCTTCTCTCCTCCAACCGAAAGTGATATGCTTGAGTAAACACTCTATGTAATTTATTCACGTTCGGCTTTTTTTGCTTCATATAACTCGTCACACCTCAACATTTATACAAACCACAAAATACATAATGTCGTTGAATGAGCTTGTTGATATGTATAACCAAAAGTTAAATTATAATGGTAGTCGATCAACAATTGCAAGTGATCCATCACATCAAGCAGCACAGCCGNGAATATATTCTTCCATCAGGACTCAGCCGATCAATTTTAATTGCGTATCAATCATTAGCGCGAACCTTTTGGGCGATTTTTATCGGGTGGATCCTATTCTTATGTAGTATTTATCAAGGTGGATTAGTTAACAAAATACTTTCTTGGTCAATCTGGGCGCCATTAGCACGACTTAACTATTCGTGCTATTTGATACATTCAACTGTTCTTCATACGATGATCTACAGTCAACGGATGCCGTTTTTCTATCAAGCGCATTTAGTTGTGAATAATTTCATTTCTCAGATCTTCTTCAGTTATTTAGCTGCTATTTTTGTGACGATCTTTTTCGAAAGTCCTTTTTTTGTTCTCGAAAAGAAATTATTCAAACGTTCATGAATATTCATATCAAAAGGCAAAAGATAAATATCATTCACACCCTCCCATTTTCCCATCAAATGCATATAGTGAATTCACTTGAAGTATTACTGTTTCGTTCTATGGAACGAACTGAAGGTAAAGAATTTTTTAACAATTGCATAAGTTCATCGTTCTTGTTCTTCGAGATAAGCTGTGAGTAATGTTTTTCATCTTCACATTGAACATGTAACGATAGGAGACTGACCATATTTTGTACAAGATAAATGATACTTTCGCGATTCATTACTTTTATGTGAAGAGTTGCACATTGAATACCCAGTGGTGAATGGCAAAGTTGTACGCATTCATTGTCATTAAAATAATAATTGTAGGCCTTGAAATTCAGTTCACGGATGGATCTATGTCGATAGCGAAAGAGTGATTTCTGCAATGGTAACGGTGCAGTATGATACAGATTCAAAATATGAAGATTAGGTGCATGATCAAGTAGAGTTTGAATCGTTGAATGGTAAATATCAACGAGAGATAAAATAGACAGTGCTCTCAGTCGATTAAAAGTTGGAACAGTAAGCCAAAACTGATTATAAGACGGGAATTGAATAGTGAGATACTCAATATTAGATACGTGAATGTTCGATGATGTTAGATCATGAGCACACGTTACACCTGTGTACCATTTCTGATGATCGTTATGATGATCGGAGAATATAAACGATCGAGAAAATTTGTTGATGTTATGACCAAATGTACTCGTTAGATATATCGTGTTTCCTTCTACGAAACATTGAGTAGATGATTGTGTTTTATCAGTCCAGAATGCACGTTGATATGGTTTGATTAAATGATCAGCAAATCTTAGAATGTCTGGAACAGAAATCAATGAATGTTCCATGTGATACTGAAAGAATTTCAGATTCGGCAAATAAGTAGAAATAATCTCTTCCCATTGATAGCCGAAAATATTTGTGGCTTTGGCACATATACTCAAACGACGTAAATTAGGCAGATGTCGAAAAAACTCGATCACTACTGATATCGGTCCGTCTTTGACCAGTAAGTTTAGTTGTAACAATGAAGAAATTGTTTGTGGGACATAACCATAATTGAAGGAGAAATCGATTGACGCGGAAAGATTCTTCAGACGTGGTGTAAATTCAAACAGTCGATTTATTTGACTAAATTCGAGTTCATTGACATGAATACATAAATTCTCGATTGACTGAGAAGTTCTTTGCGGTAGAACGAAAAATGCTTTCGTTTTTATACACAGATGAATGTTGCATTGAACCAGTTTTGATAAACTCCAAATATGATTAACAATTAACTGAAAGGATTGTTCTGTTTGATGAGTTTCGTAGAAATGAACTTTTAAATAAGTCAGATTAGGCAAGAGTTCGCATTGATCTAAGATTCCGATTAATGTGTCATGCGGGCGAAAACTGGTTATGGAAAGTGATTGTAAACGAGTCAACTGATTCGCATAAGAAAAGAATACTTTGATCTGCCCAAACGTTTGATGCGAAATCAGAAGTTGAAGAGAAACAATTCGATCGACAATAAATGGTAAATGTTGTTTACAAATCATATTGACATGATGTTGGGGCAGATTTTTGAAATTAAGATCATAGTTTAGGAACTGCTGATAGAGAAGATTCTTGAAGCGATCGTTCAGACCGTAGAAACATTGAAGGAGATGAATGCTGTCAATATAGTCGAAAACGTTTAGTATAATCTCATTAGGTAAACGTTCGAAATTGGTTTTGGTCATTGTTTGATTTTCATATATGTGAAAATTTCACAAGATAAGATTAGATATGTTGTCAACGCGAAAGAGTAAGAATAAATTTAAATCGTAATTTGCTTCATATGGGTTTTTTTGTCTGTTAGGAAGAAAGACAGACATTTTTAGGTAAAACGACGCAACCAATTGGATGTTAGAGGTAAAAAACTTACCTGTGAATTTATGAATAAGTTTTTGAGATATGTCAAATTTACATCGATATTTCCTTTATCACAGAGGACGCTCTTTCTTAGCTCCATGTACATATAAATACTATGAGTTGATGAAAACGTACAAAGATATATTTTAATTGAAGTTCCAGACGATGTGGTTTTGACATAATCAGTTCAAAGAGTAAATAATATCTTGTTGCGAAAACCTCAAATGCGATTAATGTTCTATTATTAGAAATTCATAGATTACTTAACAGATCCGTTGAATTTGTCTTCGAGTCCTTCAACTATGAAATCGCTTTCAAATGTGTCATACAAATGCTTAGGTTTATTGATGCATTTTTACCAGACGTTAGCGAAAATAATTCTGCTATTTTTTTACTGATGAAAACTACAATCGATGTCACTTATTGTGAACAGAGTAGATATCTAGTTGGTCGCTGTTTGTCTCCTTCTTGTTACTGCTAACAGTATTGTTCCATCAGGAAGGATTGCCTGCCGCTTTCTCCAACACAGGACCATTCGTCTCAGTTTATGCCGTAGATCAGAAGATGATAGAATGGATATGAATGGATACATATGTGTTACATAATCACGAAGCATAAATGCATTCGTCAACGGTATTGCTACTATATAATAGGAAAGGCCGTATCTAAGCGCAAAAACTATCGTTACCCATGGAGTATCGCAAACTAAATAGAACATTGAAGTTAGTAACATTTGAATGGTCAGTTTGCGATGCTTTCGCCATTGGATTGACCGATGTAATCGTTGTTTTTGTCTGATAATACGGACGATGAGAGTTAAACTGGACAAAACTATGATACATATTCCGACAATATGATGACAAATAAGTTCCCATGACCCTAACATTTCATTATCCAACGAACAAGGATTGGTGGTAATTCCAGCAAGAATATCATCCGCTGAATTTTGACAGAATGGAGCAAATGTGATTACAGAAAAAAAGATAAGAGAATACGTCAGTAGGATAATAACGGGCAGATAATGAAGGAGAAAACGTTTGGATCTCATTCGAAGCCATTGATCGTGAAAAATGAGTATGTGTTGTTCGATCGCTGCCCAAACAACCAAGATGATCTGCGTAGTGTGCAGCGCATAGTCAATGAAAAACCAGATAAGATAATATAAGATTGGATTCCATGCAAGATCAGCAAGAATGTTAATATAAATATTATAGAAGAGATTTAAAGCGCTGCGTACGAAGACGACAGAGAGGAGAACGATAATGATATGGTTATGAAGAGCATGACGAAGTGATCGATCGAAAAGAAGAATTGAGAGAGCAAAGGAAGCGGTGATTAAGGATAGGATGTTTGCAGTTCGAGAAATCCAAAATTCGGGTGACAGAGACATTGGTGGTCCAAAAGTATTTTACTTGTTAAATGGGAAACTCTTTTTTTAACAAACTTAAATATTTCCGCTGTACTCGTAACTAATTGAATAACAAATGCGAACTCTGGTCTGTCATATACCATTAGAGAAGAAATAAAAGCGTGTCATAGATTTGTTCTTTTATAATTAAAATTTGCGGATGTCTCATAGAGATAAATGAACCGTACAGCAAACGGCACTTTTATTCACACGAATGATCCTCAAAGTTTAATGCGCAGTTTATAAAAATATTTCATAATCCTGAAAAAAATAATTCAAAAAGTCCTCATTTGTCGATTCTTGCGTCCTTTGGGATGCTCATGCAGTCCATTAGCAAGTGCATTTAGTTCTGAATAATATCGTAACTGAAATATTTTTCTACTCTTCGAAGTGACTTCAAGAATAAATTTTTTGAAACGCTTAGTAGAAACATGAAATACACACTATCCACAGATTACACATGTATAAACGAAATGCACGACTTGATTTCTCAAGTACAAAGAAAACGAACGTTTGGGCTATTGAAACTTAGATCAGTAAACAATCAGTTTTCATTAGTAGTACGCGAACGACGATTGCCAATAAAGCGATTAGCGGGACGTGCAACACGGAGACTCAGAAAAAACAGCGCCGCAGTTGGTAGAGCGAGTGGCAGAATAATGAAAGATTGAACACATGCACTATCATAATATAGAAATGAGAAGAATCCAAATGCAAAGATGGAAAGAATTCCAAAAAAGAAACTAAAGAAACGAATAAAATCTTCAGTTAATGAGAAAAGATCATAGACTATAAACAAATCTAACACATATACTGAGATCGGTCCAAAGCGAATAATCATTATCTGCGTATCGTTCAAACAAAACTGTGAAATGTTTGGGTTTTTTGATAAAACAGAACAGTGATAATCATGGTACGAAAAACCGCATCGTGTTGCAAATATACTTGTTGTTATGTTTGATCCACGGGATTGTAAAATTAAATCATGGGAACGAATTCGATGCGAATCAAAAAAGATGCAAAAGGTGCTGAGAGCGATTGCAACTGTGGCTAGTGCTAAATGATATGACTCACCAGTGGCACCAGATCGTATTCTTATCATAGTGTGTAGTGTTGTAAGATGTGCGTATATGTTGAAAATCGAAGAATTTTTATATTCAATGTTTCTGAAAAACAAACTTTAGAAAGAGTAGCTTTAAGATACTGAGAAAATGAATCAAATGAGATGTAAGATAAACTTCCCATATAACTACGAAGAATGTTTTTAGATGCGGTATCAATGTCAAGACTCACGATTAATGGCATTGTACAAAGGAATAAACTTCTGTGCCCTCGACGCCAAAAAATGTAATCATCTATATCAACAGACAGAAGCGGTCACGACCGGGTCATGTAGCGGTCACTGCTGTGGTAAGAAGGAAGTAAACCAATTGGTTCATATTCAGATCCATAACTGCTGTTTCCATCGATAGTATCACTTAGCTGGTTAATCATTTTAAACAAGTCACCCAACGTGCTTCGCAGCTTTAAATATATCCAAAAGAAAATAGAACATTGACTATACTTTTTGCATACGAATACATCTTATTCGTTTGTTTTCAAAGTTCAATGTTAGGGATAATTCTACATCGGTACTTCTTCAGATTGACGACACTCTGTAAAAAAAATCAGGTCATACTGAACCTTTTTTCGGTACCATTTTCAGAACCTTTTTTGGTTTTAGCAAAAAAATCCAGAACCTAAAATGGTTTTAGGCAAATGTGCCAAACTAGAAAAGATTTCAGATTTCTTTGCTAGAACCATAAAAGGTTTTAGACGCTAGCTAAAACCTTTTACGGTTTAGTATCGCCCGGGTTTCTTTTAGAGAGCACCCTCATCTGATTGGTGAACTTTATGAGAGGAAAGAAAAGAAAAATTATTGGCTTATCCACTTAATACATAGAATGATCGATAGAAAGAGGGCGTCTGTTTATGGCAAACGCACTTAAAAATTACTCAAATATTATGTAATAAATATTTATTAATAAATAACAGATATAAACAACAAAAGAAGGAAGAAATAATACTACGAATACAGAGTAATAACAGATAAATAAATAAATAATAAATTAAACCGCTGGATAAACTTCTTGAATAATTCGAATTAAGTTTTCAAAAGAACGATTTCCAAATTTACGGCGCCATATAAACTCAGCTAAATGTGAGTCTAGCAAAGAACGATGTTGTCCCATTTGATTTTTCTTCCTGATTTTAGCGACCATCCACACGTTTTCGACCGTTTGAGTGTGAACTAATGTTGTTGGATCGACAAAATTAATTGAATGATTAACAGTCTCATGAGCATAACGATTGGGCCCATTATTAATATTAACAATTGAATTGTAGGCACTGCATTGATCACTATAATTTGTACTACCAGGTAAAATAAATTGATGAATCAGTGGTAATAACGTTGCAGCACCTCGACGATCTACAGGAATAGCAAAACATTCGCGAGTATCACGGTCAAAGCCACCGAAAACCCATTGAGTAGCTACGACTCTCCCTCTATTGTACTTTCTCTTCGTCTACGCACTTTCATCAGTCTCGAATAAAATTTTTCCAATCGACTATCGTAGCGTCACCTAATATTTTAATGTTACGTCTAATAAATTTATGTGAGTCAAAACCCTGACACCAATACAACATGAGATCTAGTATTTGTTGTATTGTAAGCTTACTATGCTCAAAAAAAGTATCTTTACGTAGAGAACGAGACGACTTACATACTCGACAGCGCCATTTGCATTTATCAATTGACTTTGGACATGATCCTAAATACCAATTACTGTGTTTTTTTGGACAGAATTCAGCTGGATAAGTATGTAATAAGCCGACACGTTGACAAAAACCAATAGTTTTTGCTAAATCATCGGTTAGATTATTCCATTCACGAACAGAAAGATCATCAAGAGCTGGAATAGGAGAATAAGCCATTGTGAATGAAATCCGCTACTGCCAGGGAGTGTTATTTATAAAACATTATTAATTAAATGATCGATAATCTCATTCAAATATATTAAACTGATCCTTCTATAGATCATTATTTCTTTAGGTTATAAACAAGCGCCCTCTCTCTATCGATCATCCTATCTATTAAGTGGATAAGCCAATAATTTCTCTTTTCTTTCCTCTCATAAAGTTCACCAATCAGATGAGGGGTCCGCTACACTTTGCCGACAATCACTTTGTCGACGCCGTTTTGCCGAGAGGTACACTTTGAGGGTGAGGGCGTGAGTCATGTTTATTCTTTAGTATTCTAGTGAGTCTGTATGGACTAAATATTTGTCTAGGATAATATGTAGTACCAGTGACTTATATCTTGCTATGTTCGGAAATAACCATCTTGATCAAATTCATAATCGAAAACAAGGTTTCAAAAAAGCATTTGGAAAATATCACATGTGATGAAGAAAAAAAGAAAGAAACGATGCATGTCTATCAAAGATGTCGTATACACATATATGTATGTATATAAGTAAAAAAAGAATATAACTATGAATTATGCTACTAAATTGTTAAATTTCAAAACTGTTTTTGGTAGTTGTACTTTTATAAAATTTTTGTCGGTAAACTGTACCTGTCGGCAAAGTAATTGTCGGCAAATTGATTGCGACCCGGCATTACTATCAATAAACAATAAAAACTAAGATTTTTTTTATTGATATTCGATTCAAGTTGCATGAAGTCTTGCTTGATCGTGCGTAATTGTGTATCTATCTCAATTTGAGTTTCGCTAAGTTTACGATTTGTTTCAAACAATTCATTTTGCGTTTCACCGAGCTCAACGTTTGTTTGAATTAGCAGGTTTTCTGTTTGATCGAGTTTGGCTTTAGCCTCAATCAATTCGCTTTGTGATTCACGTAGTTTTGAATTTGTTTCCGCTAAGAGGACTTCGTTTCGCAGCAGATCCTGTTCGGCCTTCTCGAGGATTCTCTTCGTTCGATCCAGTTTGTTCTTGATTTCAGCGAATTCATTTTCTATTGCATGCAATGACTGCCGTAGTCGTTCACTAAGAACCAATTGTTCATCTTCTGATTTCTTGCTTTGACCTGTACGATTCTATAAAAAAAGACATTTCTCGATCAGTTTTCACAACGAATAGATAACGTCCACATGCATTAAGAACTACTTACACTGATAACATCAGCCATGATACTATTAAACAATAATTGTGTATATATGTAATTCGATAGACATATTATTCTGAGATGAGTTAAGGATTATCACTCTTGCAAAAAATCCGTATCCAATATGAGTATTTGTAATTTACTTTTATGAGAGTTGCTCTAAAATACTTTCCTACTAGTTTACTTCTTTGCACTGTTTCCCATCTGAATTCTCGCATCTGTCACGTCATTTATGAATATTGACTTACCGATTGTGGACGACAGATTCGAAGAATCGACGATCTCAGGTCGATCATTCCGGCGACTGGATTCGTTGAAATCTGAGTCAGATCCACTACAGCTCTTCTCGATTTCGGCACAGTTTTCGCCGATTCCAGTAGGTTCCTTGCTGCCGGATTCTGGCCGAAACCGACCGTGCCGTAATAACCTGGGATGTGAATACAATTCTATCGAAGTGTTTGTACAGATATATGTCTGTCGAAACAAGAAATTTCTTCCGTCGTATCGATATATATGAAAAGCACATACACTTTTCTGAGCATAGACACAAGTGTCGGTAGTTGACAGAAAAGAAAAAGAGAAATGATAATGATTTTCCCCTTACGGACAAAATCAAACAGTAACTGATTAGAGAACGAAAAAGAAGTTTAACTCAAATTGAAGTGAGTCTATAAACAATTCGATGTTAAATAAAGACTCGTAAGATCTTCGAGATATGGCATGGTGGACATGCAACTTGCGAATTTTTTTTTGCACTTGTTTATATTATATGCGAAAGATGGAACGAAGAGAAAAACGAGACAATGCGATTGAATTAGTTCTAGTCTTCTTGATCTTGTCGAAATACTTGTATTCGTGGTTAACGTTCTATAAACATTTATTCAGTGAAAGATCGACGTTAAAAACAACTGTACTTCAATGTAATAACGATTGTCTATGATGTTTCATTTTGTTTCTATGCACTAGCGCAATCTATCGTTTTATATCATACCTGTTGAGGTCCGTTACCTGACGCTTTTCAATTTAAAATGACTGTTAACATTATTTCTTTGCGTAAACAATATTGTAATCTGACTCTTGCATTGTTGGATATTTACAGTTATTGATGATTGTAGTCGTTGTTGTTGTTGTTGTTGTAGGGTGATTGACAGAAGTAATGCTTCGCTCGTTGAATAGTCTTGTTGATCAATCATCATCCTCATCATCAAGTGTTTACAATTATAAAACACTCAATGAAATGGGAACGAGACCGACAAGTGCAAGAATATTAAATCAATCATCGATAAAATCAAATAACAAATCGAATAAAAATAACAGAAATTTGAAAAAACCGCTTGTGGATCAATGCACACATCTTAATTTACCTCCAGTATCGAATCCTATATCTATACAAGATGTTATCATCGAAGGAGAATGGCAACTACAAGAAAATACTATTGACCATACGAAATGTAAATTGTTGGGTATTGAAAGTTTAGTTCTCACCTGCCATGATATTATGAGCAGAACCCAAGAAAATATGCGATTAAAACAGCAAGAACAACGAATATCTTTCATTAGTTGGAAATTATGGTCATCGATTCGATTCGATGCTTACAGAACGTTGACAGATGCTGATCGTGCTGTACTCAATCGTGCTCATATCTATGATTTGATGACGATTGTCTTTGAAGCCGCATCAACAAGTGGATCAATTTCTCACCTTGTTAGTATTTGGCGCGAAGCTTCTGAACATATCAAACAACGACATCCAACTACATCTCTGAATCAAATAAAGGTTTCCTATGAGAATGCTTTTCGGCATTTGATCCACACGCCGGACAATTCTCTTCTTCAAATAGCAGTTCATGCATCACTTCTCACAAGCCATAGTCGAATGGATTTACAAAATTTAGGTGAACAATTTGGTGTAAAAAGAAATCAATTTGACGTGGGTTTAATTCGAGATTCGATACAACACTTTCAAGACTTCATTAAATTTTTACGTGAACAAAAATTTAAACAAGAGCGTGAACAGCAAACAGTAGATACAAATAAATTACCGTATAAACCAAGAAAAAAACGAGGTCTCAATGCAAATGTCTCTGGCACGAAATTTTCTGCCGGTAAGTTGTTTTTCTTCGGAACATTTCAAAGGCTTCTAAAAACAAAACAACAATGTTTTCGTTTTTCAAGTTCGTCTAGCTTCGGATGTCTTTGGATTTGCCATCGGTTCGGAAAGCGACTTTACAACAAATATGATATGGAATGATACATTGATATCCATGGAGATCGTCTCTGCACTTAAACCTTTCCAAAAAATTAATCATTTTCCCTCAATGAGTGAAATCTCGCGTAAAGACCTATTAGCTCGAAATTTCGACAAGTACATCTATTTCACCAATTTTCATATTTCATCAAAAGTTTTTTCTTTCAAAGGTTGTCACGTGTATTGCCAGATGAATACAACTATACACCAAGAACATGGGTATTACCCAATGAATACAACGCTTGGTATTCATATGCATCGAGTAAACCAAAATCAGATTCAATTGCCTACATTCTTAAACCAAATAATGGTGCTATGGGCCATGGGTACGAGATTTTCTTTGATACAGAATTGATTTAGTCGTTGTTTATCGATAGAATTCAAGTTTGCTGTGATTATGAACGTATTCAATCAATGGATAATTACATTGTTCAAGAATATATTCAAAATCCATATTTAATCGAAGGTTATAAATTTGGTAAGAACACACCTTTTCAACGAACCTTATTTTCATCTCTTTTTTCATTACAATCAGATCTTCGAATCTATGCATTAGTTACATCCTGTGATCCACTTCGATTGTTTATATTCAACAATGGTCTCGTTCGTATGAGTACAGAAAAATACGAAGCAGCGAATCGAAAGAATGCTGTAAGTTCGATTCGACGTTCGAAATTCTCTTTGAATTCGATTCGTTCTTAGTCTCATCTCTATATGCATTTAACAAACTACTCCGTGAATAAATACAATGTTGACTACGAAATAAGTAAATCCAGTACAAATGCTGAAAATACAGGAAGCAAACGTTCATTGAAATATCTATTCGATTATTTACGAACACAAAAAGAAGACGCAAATAAACTCTGGAAAGATATTCAAGTAAAGCCTGTTTCTCCGAGAAAATCAATTCATCATTTATTTGTAGAATGTTGTGATAAAAACAGTTTTTCTCGCTCAACCACATTTATTCAATGCCTATCGAATGTGTCGTCCCGGTGCGTCTCCATCAAGTGAAAGCGTCTGTTTTGAATTACTTGGCTTTGATATCCTAATCGATCAGGAACTAAAACCGTGGGTGCTTGAAGTATGTATTCAACAATCGACACGAAGCAAAAGTACTGGTTGATTTTCGTAGGTGAATCGTTGTCCAAGTTTTGGCACAAATGAACAAATTGATTTTGATATAAAAATGAAATTGTTGCTTGACACGTTTGAATTACTTCGTTTTCGAACTTTGGATCGAAAGAAAAGTTTAGCGATTGAAAAAGCGGAAGCACAGCGTCGTTTGTATACAAATATGGGCAAAACAAGCCGGTTGTTTGATGATTCTGCCTTAATGGTTTCCAATGGGAACTTTTCCGATCTTCGAAGTCGGCAGAGAAAGATTGCGGATATTGTATGTCACGTTTTGTTCTATTTTCGAGGAACATTTCATTTGTCTGATGTTTAGAAAGAAAAGTTATATCTTCTTCATCGTGAAATCGCTCGTGAAACCTTCGAAAACCGTCATTTAGGCGATTTTATTCGTCTTTTTCCTGTTGAAGATAGTATTCGTATGAGTGAATTGATGAATTTATTGACACGATGTTTCGATGTTTTATACACAAATAAAAAAGATTTATCTTGGAGTAGCAAATATTATAGTCGTTATAAAGAAGATGAATTACTAGATCAATTGGCTGAATTAGAAGATTTAGAACAGAATGATCAAAACCAAAATTCTCGTTTGGCTCATGTAAGTTTCATTTGGATTTTCTGTTGATTTTTGTAAATAAAAACTGAAAAATATATCTAACATATGATTATTGAAAGATCGGAGAGAAAGGAATTATTTGACGAAAAGAAAAAGATCATTCTACTCACGATCCTTTCAGAGTGCGCCAATTAACAAAACTCCTTTTTCATCTTGGTCAGCTGTAAACTTTACAGAAGTAAGTTTTTCTCAAAAACTGCACTATTTATTATTATCAATATTCAATAACATCATATATCTTACACATTGTGTTCATTAATCCCCACATTTAGTCCGTATAAACCTGTTGTCTCTACTGTTCTACTGATTAACATTCGTAATTCTATCTTCGAATCATCTTTAGACGATTAACAATCTTCCAGTCATCGATCGTGGATCACCAACCGCTAGTTTCGCATCGCAATGCAGTGATAATGCTGATTATGAAGATGATGACGAAAATGAAAATGAATGTCGGTTAGATTCACCACCACCATCTGATTTATTTAGTAAAGCATCAGCATCAACCACGACGATCAAATCAAATAATTCTCTAATTAAAAAATACGCATCCCAATCCCGAACAGATATTTCTTCCACATCGATTTCCTCATTACTTCTACGAAAACAACGCCAATCTCAATGTATTCCTCCTACTCTTCCTCCGAAACCTCCAGTAAACTCATCGATTTCCAGACTAAATCGACTTCCAGATAGAAAAATCAATCCCAACGAATCACAATCTCGACTAGGTGCGAGAAATGTAAACAACAAATCTCAAATGATCACATACACGACCATTATACAAACACCAAGAAAACCAACGAATGGTCGAACAACAAATCTTACTTTACCTAAAGTTTGAATTAGAAATCATTTTTTGTTGTTTGCATCAGTAAATTTTGTTTAGGAGTTGCAACTGAGTGCCGAAGAATTGAATCGCCTTTATCAATTGATACTCGAACAAATGCATCAGCTATGTATTCGTTATCCGCACAAAACTGCCGATGAAACGCGACGAATTTGCCATGAAGTTGTTGAAAACTGGAATAAATACCGAAGTCCAATCGGAGAGTTTTGGCTCAGTCGATTAGATGCACCAAAAAGACAAGCAATTATTCGAATTGTTTGGACTAATGTTCAACAAATAATCAAACAAATTTGTACCACTGATGAACCTATTGAACATCTTTCATTAAGCAAGCATTTAATCAAATTAGAACAACGTTTACTATCAAATCACGGACAATGTCTTTGGGACATTTGTCAAAATCGACACAAGTATTTTCGCGTTGAAAATTCTCGATTTTTCTTTAAAATTTCATTTGTAATTTAGTTCATGGTCAACGACATTGATGTCGAATACAGTGCGTTTATCGCCGATTGAATTATCATGTTGTAATCGGTTTGTTGAACTATGTAAACAAGCGTTATTTGTTGTTTATCGTTATTCAACTGATGAAAAAACGGAAAAACAAAGACAACAACAAACTGAAGGAACAACAGTAACAGTTATCGGTTAAATCGTTCGTTTCTTTTTCCACTCATTACACACATACGATCGTTTTTTGCTTTACCGGTGGGTTATTTTTATTTTGTCAACTTTCTATAATTAGCAAACATCCGTGAAGTAGAAAAATACGAAAATAGAACATATCAGTCTTTTTATGGAACGATTTTTTTCATTGTATAGTTCAACGAAATAAAGAAAACTTCCTTTTTTATTCTTCATGAAGAATTCGACCAAGGTCTGTGTCTTCGCTGAAATCTTATCGAAATTGGTTCGTAAAACAAACGCAAAAAGATTAAAATCTCGTTTTTTTTTCTTTCAAGACGTTCTCGGCGATATATATCTATAGAAATTGACTTCAGCTACGTTTCTAATGTTCAGTTTAGATAAATCATGATATAATCTGGCATATCATATCGATATGAAGCGTATCGTACTTGAGTTGACTTTTACCTTTTGCCCATCGGTCAAATTACAACGAGAAAAATACATGAATATGTATGTATGTATGTATGTATAATCGATTATCGTTCAATCAATGTTCACCTTGATATTCTGTTGCTTGAACGATGATAAGAACCGAGCATACGGCGAACGTTCAATAAGATATATTACATAAAATATTCATCTTTATTGGACTTGCATTTTCAAATAAACCGACGCAAGATTCAGATGATTTCATTGTTCGAATATCCGATCACTCTTTCGAGTTCTTGTCCACATTTCTCTTCGCTTCTTACTTGTGTTAGTCGAATGGGTGGAAAAATTGATCCGGAATTTTTACTTCAATGTCAAATCACTGATAAGATCTACGAGAAGAAAATTGATCAATTGAAACCGATTCCAATCACCTACGACTTCTTACCCTCGAATCTTCAATCATCCGAAGAACTCTTTCTTGATATTGGTATCGAAGATAATCGACAGTTTTACAATCGATTCGAATTTCAACATTATAATTCCTGGTTAATTAATCCAAACCGATGGAATGTCATCTACTCATTCACTGACGACCTAATCATTTGAATAGACTGAAAAATGAACCAATGTGATTAATATTACATATTTATATAAAAACCTAATTGTTTTTTTTGCTTTCTAATTTACCTTGAAATAAAGAAAACATAATCCTTGAACATCAGAACATATCATCCTTACTATCTGCATGTTTTTGCAACGATACGACTTCGAAAGCTTTTTTTTCTTCGTTTTTCTCGCTTCTCTCCTCCAACCGAAAGTGATATGCTTGAGTAAACACTCTATGTAATTTATTCACGTTCGGCTTTTTTTGCTTCATATAACTCGTCACACCTCAACATTTACACAAACCACAAAATACATAATGTCGTTGAATGAGCTTGTTGATATGTATAACCAAAAGTTAAATTATAATGGTAGTCGATCAACAATTGCAAGTGATCCATCACATCAAGCAGCACAGCCGTCGTTTCCAACAGATCCTCTGACTGATTCAAGTAATTCTATGCCAGATAATCCAAATTTTAC